TTATATAAATACATTTTAAGTTAAAATTTCTAAACCAAAAGTTATTTCATTCACGATATGATTCAATAGTTTCACTTGGAATTTTTCAATTGCAAATTATTTTTTTTAGAAGTTACATAATACTTCAAATTTGTAAATGAAATAATTATATCAAACAGATTTGGCAGGTATTGGTATGGCAATGGTAGAAATTTTATTGCCAAAAAATTTTGACAGGTATCCAATTACCAAAAAAATATAGGGGAAAAATTACAATTTAGCAATTTGTATCTTGGGATTGGTGCACATAAAGAAATAAGATTTTAAAATGTGTGTATAATATATTTGTAATTTGAGATTAATGCATATAAAGATTTAAGATTTCACACACACACACATATATATATATATATATATATATGAAACTAAGGTTCGTATTAAGTGCATATAAGCACCTGAGATTATATGAAATGTCCTAAATACCCTTATTTTTAAATTATTTTAAGTTAGGGCCTTTAAGAGATTTCAAGAAATTTTAAGTTGTTATTTGCAACTAGTGCAAATCCTTAAAGAATATATGTGTACATTTTGAAATTTTAAGTCTTTATTTGCATATACTTAAAACTACATGTATGTTATATATAGATTTTAAAATCTCAAGTTTTTATTTGTGCTACCCCCAAACCACAAGTAATTGAATTGCAATTTTCCCCCATATATATATGTATATTTTTTGTTTAGTGATCAAGATGTACATGGGTTAGCTTGCATGCATCACCGACTAATCCCTCCCAGTCTAATCAAAGGTAGGTCATCTTTGTTAAAATTAGAGAATTTATAAAGAATTACTTCATCATTGACCTCTCTAAGGAATCCCAAATATATTTGGCATGATATCTTAATTTTTTTTAATATGGCATGGTGTCTTAATCTTAATTATATATATTGCTATAATAATAAAATTTTCCTTAAATTCATAAAGAAATACCCAATAAACTTAAAAAAACTCAATAATACCTAATTTGCTTTTTAAAAAATACATATTAAATAATAATTTAAATCTAACATAAGGGGTTTTGGAAGATAAGGAAATTAATATAGAATAGAAAATTAATTCAATTTATAATTATAGAATAAAGGTGTGGGACTCATGGATTAATAAGGGTAAACGTAGTGGTTATGTCATGTAATTGTTTTCCTCTTTCTTTCTATTTTATTGGACTCATTAATCATAATAAAAAAAATAGAATACCATATTAGTAATTCCTGGTTAGTAGTCTTAAAAAGTTGATATTTAGCAAATAATAACTTTTTAGGTACCAAAAAAAAAAACCCCCTAAAATAGTTCTTATTAAGTATGACAATTCAACCTTAATAGAAAATTAAGAAGTCTGGTTATATCAAAAACATTTTCTCATTAACTACTACAATTTAATTTTAAATATGACTTGGAATCTTATTCATCACGAATTGAATCTTTCTATTCTACACTACTCACTACTAGAAAACCTTAAATTATTGATCAAAATATCACCAACATGAAAGTTTTTATTGGTGAACTACTACTTTACCAACAAATAATATATCTGCACTAAGTGAAATAGTAAAATTAATATTAATTTATATTATATAAAGTTTAGATGAGTACTTTGTCGATCAATTAGTGCTATAGAAACGTGAATCTTTTTGATAATATCTAGTCTACACAATTTTGCATGGTATTTGTTTTAGTTTTTTTAAATAATTATCAAATACTAACTTTAATCAAATGAGTTAAAATTTTTTAAATTATAAATAACAATAATTTTTAATCATCAAGTTTAAACTATTAATTATCAACTATTGTAAAAAAATTAATCTAAATAGCTTCTTTATATTTTTAAATTTTTAAATAAATAAATAAATAAATTGAGACTAATAAAATATCAAAAAAGATCCACCTTAGCACCTTAAAGTTTAATCTCTCTTGTACCATCAAAAAAGAAAAAAAAAAAGTTTAGTCTCTTAAAGATTCAAGGCAAAACCATAAGTTAAGCTCCTAAACTAACCCCAAAATTGCTATTGAGTCTTTAGACTTTAATTGATGTATATAAGTTTTTAGACTCTACGATCAAAGCAATTTAACCATTATTCTTATAGCAACTTAATTGCTGATTGGGGACTCACTCGCATGGCAAAATATTGCCATGTCATGCCTATATGGCAAAGGATTTGGCATTTCGTTTGTCCACTTACAAGGGAAAAGAAAAAAGAAAAGAAAAATGATTTAAGGATAATTTTTTTGTACAACTTTACATGTCATATAAATAATTGACTATTTTTATTTATTTAGAACTCATGATATTAAGTACATCCACTCATTTAATGATATATAAAAGTTGTATAAAAAGGGATACAAAAATGTTATCCTTATAACACCAAAAAAAAAAGAGAGAAAAGAAAAAAATAAACGGAAGCCTCAAGGGTTCCCCAAATAATTAAGCATGTTAGTCCTAGCTTTATCCTAATTAAGCATGTTAGTGGATCCCTGATGCTTCCTTTTGTTCTTTTCCTTTCTTTCTCTATTTTTGCTGTTGATATAAGAATAATTTTTTTGTATCATATTTTTATACAATTTTTACATATTATTAAATGAATGAATGCACTTAATATCATATGTTTCAAATTAATAAAGGATTTTTCTAACCTATACCCTAAGAGTTCTTTTTTTTTTTTAATCATAAATATATGTTAAAAAATGTAAAAATTGACATTAATTTCAGTGTTAGTGCTAAATGGATGAACTTAATTAAATAGTAAAAAAATTAAATGTCAAGTTCTATTTTTTTAACACAAATTTATTATAAAAAAATGAATTTATTGCATTTTTAACTTGTGCCTTTAGGGCATAGGTTAGATAAACTTATGAATTGGATAAAAAGAGTTAATCATTTAAATGACACGTAAGGTTGTACAAAAAGTTGTACAAAAAGTTGTCCTTAAATCACCTTTTTATTTTTTATTTTTGCATTTAGGTGGACAAACTAAACGCCAAATCCCTTGTCACATAGGCATGACATGGCAATATTTTGCCACACGAGTGAGTCCCCAAATGGCTGTTAAGTTGGCCATGAGAATAAGGGTTAAATTGCTCCGATCACATAGTTCAGGAGCTTATATGCATCAATTAAAGTAAGGGGCTCAATAGCAATTTTGAGGTTAGTTTAGGTGCTTAACTAATGGTTTTGCCAAGATCTAGGCCTTTAAAGCGTAATAGTTACATTAAGTCCAAATAATTAATGAGTAAATGCTAATTTTGGTCCCTCAACTTTAAGGTTTTCCACAATTTTCATCTCTCAACTTTTTTATGCACTTTTTTTGTCTCTTAACTATGAAAAAAGTATTTTTTTAATTATTCTATCGGTTAATCTATTAAATTTATGAAAATATGCACATTTTAGTCCCTCAACTTTAAGTTGAGAAACAAAAAATGTGCATATATTAGAAGTTGAGGGACTAAAAATGTGTATAGGTTCAAATATGCTAATTTTGGTCTCTCAATTTTAAGGTTTTACATAATTTTCATCTCTCAACTTTTTTCTGCACTTTTTGGGTCCCTTAACTATGAAAAATGTATTTTTTTAATCATTCCATCAGTTAGTTTATTAAATTGATCTAAATAAGCACATTTTTAGTTCCTTAACTTTATATTAGAAGATAAAGGATTAAAAATGTATATAAATTCAAATAGACTTAATGGACTAATTAACGAAAGAACTAAAAATGTGCATTTTTCATAATTAAGGGACTAAAAAAGTGTATAAAAAATTGAGAGATCAAAATTGTGTAAAACCTTAAAATTGAGGGACTAAACTGGACATTTAAAAATAATTAATCAACTTTGAAAGCTCAATTCCTTAAAAAACTCAAGCTTTTATAATTCAATAACTCATTAAATAATTTAGCAGTAATTTTTTTTACTAAAAGTAAAAAATCTTGAGTTTGAGTTACATTACATATAAGTGGGTTAGATTATGAATGTGAGGGTGTTGTTTCTTATTGTGTAATTTACAATAAAAAATTTAATAGTTATATTAAACCCAAATAATTAATGGATCTAAATATCCTAATTTTATTTTA